GGGGGGGGGGGGGGGGGGGTTGAAATTCAAACGCCAACCACTAGCTGGTACTGTACCCCAAACCGGACAAAACAGTGTGTTTTTAGATGTTTTCCGTGAGAAACGGTATGTTTGAAGTAGAAGAAGAATACGCTTCATGTTTAAATTTTTACAGTTTACCTTTCCTGGGAGGGTTTATTAAACGATAAGGCGGCCTTGTAGAGAGCAATACTACTTCTAGATGATGGTGACATATATTAGTGGGTTTTTGAAGGCTAACCAAGTCTTCCGAAAATCTAACTTGTCAAGGTGTATCAAGGGATATCAATAAAACTGTTAAGCTCGAGTAGAAAGTCTCGTAATGGTAGAAAGGATAAATTTACTCCATTATCCTCTGAGAATACACCTGAAACAAATAGTTACGTTAACTTATTTCCCTTTGCAAGAGGTATGTGACTCCAATTACAGTCCTTGACTTTTGATCTCTCCATTTGCTTGCATTCATTGTTAATGCTGATTGCAGACGTTCGACATTCAGCCCACAAGGAGTGCATTGATTAACTGCGAGTAGATAGGGAGGCTATCTGGTAAGGGTTAATTATATACGCGGGGTAAGGAAAGGCTATGGAGAAATGCCTACAATATTTTTAAAAATAGATATTGTTCGGTAGAGTTTTCGTTCGGCCCTACGTCGGGAGGATGACATTCGCTGATCTGTACCGCTCCAAGGAGTCGGTATTGCTAAAACGTCTACATTGGTTCATTGTCCTGTGCCCCCACACGCACTTCTTTAGTAAGAGGAAAGCTCATTTTTCAAAAAAAAACATTCAGGCCCAGAGAGCAGTCGGATAGTAAAACAATACTCGAAATATTGCCGGATGGAATAAATAAGCCTGCCAGTAAAGTAGGAGTGTTAAAACGCTGGCGAATTTGTTAGCAGTTAACAGTCAGTATTTTCTTACCCCGCGCACATAACTAATCCTTGCAAGCTAGCTGTCCAAGAAATTACGTCAGCAAATCTGTCGAGTTTCTGATGCATCATGCACTGATAAGAGATGTAAGCTCTAATCACGCTGCAGCTTTCACCTGAGCGGTGTATCATACACTTTTGTGGTGGCAGCACCTCCACATTTTACTGTCTAACTCACGTTGTAGGAAAGGAAGCGGGAAAAAGTACCATACCTTGGTCAAGTGTTAGCTGTGAAGCAGAGAGTGTGTTGGTACGCCTTGGTGCGGGTCTGTCCGTGCCAGCCACCTGCGCCCTCCCCCACCTCCGGTCTTCCGTCTGTGTTTTGACACCGAGTCCAAGCGAGGAGAGGAGTAGATTAAGTGACTGATCTCATGAAATGTTGGCCGAAATTCTGAAATGCGTTTGCGATTAGGAGGGATTACTTAGGTGGGATTGTAGTACCAATTAGTATGTGGCATAATCTAATAGTATTTCGGCCACCCCAGGATGTCTGATTTTGAATGCACATCTTTTTGCCCTCCTGAAGAAACCGCACTCGGTGCAAATTGACTACTTATGTAGCATGCATTTTTTACATTGATTTTTAGTGGTTCTAAAAAACAGGCACAAAATAGGCTTTCTTTTACTCTTTTGGTGGGAAATCACATTGTTCTCACATTTTATACCCGACGAAAGTGTATATTTAGGTTTTAAAAAATTTCTTATGATGAGAGTTTTAAAACCGTGCGATGTGCATTCCTACAGCTTTGTACATGTCCGTTTATCAATGCTACTCATGAAATGTTCAACATAATCCGCATCCATTGTAAAATTTTAGGAACTCTATATGGCATCTGTTTAAAGACGTAGAGGAATACATAATTTTTCTCATGCGGAAGGTGTACACTTTGTAGACTAAAATAGTTAAACGCTAATGAACACTCTGATCTGACTCAAAATTACTCGGAAATTGGAAAACTTTTTTAAAACCTAAATATGCATTTTCTTCGGGTATAAAATGACAGAACAATGTCATTTTCTACCAAACGAGTTAAAGAAACCATATTTTTATGCCTGTTTTTTATAAAATGTATCTAAATTTATAGATCCATTGAAAATCATTGTAAAAAATGCATGCTACGTAAGTAGTCAATTTGTTCCGAGTGTGGTTTCTTCAGGAAGGCAAAAAGAAGTGCATTCAGCAGCAGACATCCTGACGAGCCCGAAATACTATAACATTCTGCCACATAATAATCAGTACTACAATCCCACCTATCTAATTCCTCCTAATCGAAAAGGCATTTCAGAATTTTGGCCAACGTTTCATGAGGTCGGTCACTCAATGTAGATAGCGCGGTAGATGCCGATCAAGTCTTCCGTCAGTATAAACTAAGTCACATGCAAGTCACCGTGCCTGCTTCACCTTGTTATTGGAGCCTATGCTGAACATCGTCAGACGCGGTAGGTGAGCTGGACCAACAACGGGGACCACATCGGTGCTCGGCAGGCGTTGTCGGGATTTCACACACACCATAGCAAATGCCAACATTCAAGGTGTGGTGGCAGGCCCAGTTGCCGGCTTACGTCGCGCCAACTGGGATCCCTGCGCCCACCGACTGCCCAAGGCAGTCCTGATACATGCCGTAGCACGCTCTATCTTTTACGAATGCTTTTGAATTACGATGTCTCAATGTTAATCAAGTAGTTGGTTTTTCCTTTCCAAATGCACAAGTGTATCTGGAACCGGCAGTAATTGCTGTTTCTGTCTTGATTATGGAGACAGAAAGACAGCGGCGCAGTTCGGCTTTAAGGAGCCAAGACCGGGAGCATTCAACCGTTCACTTTGAACATATGATAGGGGAGCACTAATACTGTAATTCTGGTTGTTTTCCACGTGCTTGCATCTGTTTTGTAGGACTACTGTGGACCCCAAGAGGCCCTATAAGGTGGGAAATGCCTGCAGTGAATGCCCAGCTGATTTTCCAATCTGTGAAAACAGAATGTGTGCAGCCGCGCCCCTTGGCAGTCAGTCTGGCAGCGAGCCAGATGTAGTACCTCCGAAGCCTGAAATCAGACCGGCTCCTTCGCCAAGTCCTCAACCGTCCTCGCAGGTTCAACCTAGGACCACGCCTCCACCGAGTCCGGAGACGATGGAAGAGACAGGGGAGGAGGTAAAGGAGGCGGTTCTTATTTCAGCAGATGCCGAACCAACCACTACGAGCAAGAGTTCAAAGAATATCTTCGGGTTCCTTAATGGCTTCACCTTACTCATCAGCACTGTTCTCCTTCATTACGGATATTCAAATTAGTGTAGTATTCCATGGGCAGGGAGGCAGAGGTGTCAGACTCTACTGCCTTGAAGTCTATCTACCCGTCAATTAAAATAAAGTTCTAGGTTCGACGTGGAGCAGTGAAATCATTCGGCAGAAACAAACAAACAACCGT